AAGTGAGCTGTTTGCTCTGTTAAAAAACTCCTCTTCAAGGGAAAAACCTTCTCTTTATTCCTCCTAAGCTACAAGGATAACCCAGGCAAACCTCTTCTTGCTGCCTTATGTCCAGCCCTGACACTCGGTACAAATTCTGCTGGTTTTTCCAGTTCACTTCTCCATCTGCAACACCTGCCACCGTATTCCAGCACTTCCAAGTGCAGTGGTGATACCCAAGCGTTGCCAAAACTATACTCATAGAGTAAAGAAAAACAAATGGCCCTGATATTTCACAGCCACTATGCAAGGCACAGCAAACACAATTTTGTGGGAAGTGGAAATGTGTGCCAGCGGCATGTAACACCATTCACTCCTCAACTGAAAAAGAGGATTTCTTTAAAAAGTCAGTTTCACCCCGACCCAGCTTACCCGTGTGTCAGTCAATTTTAGGATTAATTACTCAGCAAAACAAAGGCGCCCTTTTTCTCTACTATATGACTGTGCCGATCGTACACACAAATACAAATTGTGAAGGTACCCTTTCTCCCCAGCAGCCCAAGGTCTCTTACCTTCCACTTCTTCTTCATCACATACGTGTTTAAGGAAGGAAGCCCCTCTATCCAGTACTGCCTCGTCCTCCATCCTATAGTAATAGAAAAGAAAAAAGGAATGCTCAGACTTCTCCTGGAGCGAGCTATTTGAACCAGCCCAGGTCCTGGGCAGGTTAACTTGCAAGCTGTTGTTCATGTTCCTGTGGGAGCTCCTGTTCTCCTTCCAGTGCCTGCTGTTCCTTCATAGAGCTCCTTTCAAATGGCGTTGGGTTTAAGCTGGCCTCACGTAGCTCGAATTCTAAGCTTGAGAGGACATCAGTGCTGACAGGTGTGAGAAAGGTAATCCCAGCTAGAAGTCTTTGGGTTTTTTTCCTCTTTCTTCTTTTTTTTTTTCCCCTCCTCCTCCTTTTTCCTTTTTTCTAAAAAGGACGTATACATAAGTTTGGGACTGTCTATGCAATAGCCAAGAGTTTGTGGAATTCCAGTTTCCCTTTAAAGTTCCTCTGACAGACCTCGGCTGCAGAACCACGTACACAAGCAAGCACGCATACCACACACAGACATACACGCGCGTTCGAACGCACAATGGGAGATCAGCCTTCAGCCAGCCTCTTAATACCAGCAAAGCACACTTGTCTGTTGAGAGGCAAGCTTTGTGTCACATGTTGGCCTTACAGAAATCTGACATATGAGGATTATCCAGAGACCGAGCTACAGTAAGTCAGACCATCAGAGCAGACATTTATGTGTGTCACCCTTTGGTGACACAGCAGTCATTTATGTGTGTAGTTGCCTTCTTTCCCCTCCCCTTTTCTCTCCACCTCTTATCTGCTTCTCTGTATAGAAGAGACTCCTCATTTTGTGCCTCCGCCTTAAGAGTCCTGTGGTACTGCCCAGAACTGGTACTGCTGTATTTCGCCCACAAAATAAGACCCTGCATGCTTTCCAAGGGTTGGTCTGCAAAGTCACTTTTGACAAGCAAATACAAAAACGCTAAAACAACAAAGAAAAAAAAAATCTACCTGTATTAACTAATCTCCTTTGATAGCGCTTACAGGCTAAGCGCACATTTGCTGCTCACTGCTGGACAGTCACTGTGGAAGCTTTCTATCTTAATACAACTGGAGACCCGGTAACCTGTTTTCCACAAGAAACAGGCATATATGGGTACCGAGCAAAAAACAATACCTTTTCCTTACATTCCTTAGATGGAATAGGGACAAACTCGGTACAGAAACAGACAAAGCCTTCAGAACTTCTTCACATCTGTATTGCTTCCACTTGTGATCCCGCAAGATCCTCCAGGTGCAGTACCAGCAAACACTTAATAGAGTTTTTTTAACGGCACATTCAAATTCAGGAGAGTATAAAAACTGAGCGGATGAACACCAAGAAGTCTTCGGGTATCTACCTTGTATATCAACGCCTACCTGAACAAAAAAAACCAAACTAACAAACAAAAAAATTCAGCCACAAAAGAAAGTACCAAAGCCCTCGTTTTCTGGAAGTAGCAGCACAGCAGCCATTCTCCCATCGTTGCCAAGTTTTCCTCCACCTCAAGCACCTTCACTAACACGCCACTGGCCTCATCCTTGGTTCACAGTCCGCAGCTCAGCTCCCACGAACGAGTCTCAAATACATCAAAGATAAAAAAGAACAAAGCAAAACGGGTCAGATTCAAAACCACTAACCAAGGATATGGAAATAGACATTTTTCATTCAGATTACTGGGTGGCAGTAAATAATACAGCACCATACCCAGAAATGAAGATGAGCATCAGCACCGAAGTTCAGGTCCAATTCAGACATTTGGAACAAGGCCCACCTCCCCGTCACACAGGCTGTTTCTGCCCGCACTGCCTGCAAGAGGTCCAGAAGCCAGAGGATTTGAAGGACACGTTTCTCCGACTTCAGAAAGGTACCATTTCACAAGCAGCTGTTGTCCTGCACGAAGGGGTAGGACATGCTTCTTGCCAACAAAACACACAAAGCCAGCACTCAGGCACGCACACAGAAGTCTTCCCCGAAAGCTCCAGTTCTTCGTTAAATTATTCAAGACTATTTATGCATCTTTTCTAAGGCAACAAAAGGGAACATATTTCATGGGTGCTCTTGCCTGTTTGCAACGGTTGTGAAGGCACACCCCAATTTTTTTTTATTTTAGTTCTTTTTCCCCCAAAGCAGCACAGTAGCTACTTGCTATAAACACAAGTGAAAACATCTGGAACAGATGGGACTGGATTTCCGCACCAAACAAACCGCACGCGCTTTATTACTCCGTAAAGTCTGTTCTTATGCTTTCACAGACAACGTGCCCCGGCATTTGCCTCCGTTCCCTGAGCACCGAGACATTCAGGCCCCTCAGCACGCGTGTATGTGTGCAGCAACACCCGCGCACCCCACAGCCCCTGCTCAAACACCAGTTTCTCCACACCATCCGAGGCAGCATCAGTCCAGGCACGCAGCACCTGAGAAGCAAGAGTCTCACAGCAGTGGGAGAAAAGAAGGGAAAGGAAGGAAGGGAGCGATTTCCGCTGCCCGCAAGCAGTACAGCGCTGACAACTCACCGGGTGGGACCCACCCAGTAAAATGTCTGCTCGAATTCCCCACCGCGGCAGTGCATGCTGCCAGCATCACCCTGCCCACAGGGGTGCCCCGCTTGCTGCGGAGCCGTCCCAGGGCAGCACCTCACCCGCGGGTTCCCCCCTCCCTCCCAGTAATGGCACCCTTCCTCCCTTGGATCAGTTTATCACATTTAACAGCTGCGCTTTCTAGCCACGGAGGCTTGGAAAACTGCTTATGACACATTGCAAGCCTGTTACTTTCCCCGAAACGCGTGCAGAGCGGATCCGAAGGAGTTGGGGGGTTTAAAGGGCCAGGAATAGAGCTTGGGTCGCCTTGGCACAGCGCCCCGTCTCTAATCCGCAGGAGTTTAGTGATTAGACTCCCAAGTGCCACCTCCCTTGACTTGGTCTTTTCTGCCCTTCTCGGATTGCTGCAGGATTTCTTCAGGCCAAAATCTAGCAAGAAAACACCCTTTCTGAATTTGCACGGGGGAAATATTTCAGCCCCCTGAAATTTTTCAAAAAAACATGAAATGGGAGTTGCAGAAATAAAAAAAAAAAATCACACAAAACAACAGGAAAATCTTCACTTGGGTCCTCAGAGGAAAACTGGAAGAGTCCTATCAGTGAGGCACTGCAGCAAGAAAAGGTATTTTCACCATCCCATGGAGGAGACACACACACACTGGACAGAAGAAAGAAAGGGTGGCAATTTTTTTAGGGCCTCTGAACAGAAACGTGCCTTAGTTTAAGCCTGGTTTACTAACTCCTTGCAGTAAGGTAAAAAGCATGAGACGTTCAGACACTTTTTATCTAGACCCACATCCTCATTACTGCTACTGCAAAGTTTTGGAAACAAACCTGAAAAATTAATTTAAAAAATATTGGTTTTCTATTTTCAGGGTCTAGATCTGAGCAAGCCATGTACTCTGACAGAATATACCCAAGTGAAAAACAACAAGCTGCTTAAGTAATCGGCCTCTCTGGGTAGATCATTAGATCGGTACCAAACATTTTTAGAAATGACATTATGTGTCAATAGGATTTTAACAGGAGTTACACACAGCCTACCCAACGCAGCACGCAACTCAAACCTAAATTTGCAGATACACCTCACAGAAATATTCTGCCAGACTACTCAGAAAGAACAAGACCAATTTAATACTAACAGGCATCCTGGGCTTCATAATGGAGGGAAAAGTCAGTATAAAATGAGCAAAAGCGAAGGAAATCGAAGAGCACAAAGCAGCAAAGAAGATGAAAGGTCTATTCTCCAGCGAGCGGGGCCCACCCTTACAATTGAGCAAGTACGTTTGCCTCTCCGCTCCGGGTAACTTTCGAGGTAACGGCATTTCTGCGCGTTCAGCGTTAGCACAGCAAACCTGATTTGGGTTCTGAAGGAAAGTGCTGTGGTTCAAAAGCAAATTATTTGTGATAGGCTAAAAAAACCCAATTACTTAAAACTCCTTGTCTCACTCCCCTCGGCTACACGTGTCTGACAGTCTCCGTTTTGCTCATCGCATTATAAACTCTTCCTGCAGGTCTCCTTGTTACAGCACCAAACACCTCCAACACGTCTTCAAGCCGTCCAAAGCGGCAAGTAACCTCAGCTTCGCCGTCCCCCGTCCCAACC